CAGCCACTGAGACTGGGGGACACAGGAGCCTCTGTGTGTGTGTGTGTGTGCGTGTGTGTGTTGGCACCAGAGTCTCCTCCCTTCTGCCTACCTCACCAGCCAGCCTGGGGTCAGAGGACTGAAAATAAACAGAAAAAGGGAGGAGACGGTCCACAGTCCGAGGTTCAGGCCACAAACCGGTGCCTGCCCCATAGGGCCTTGAGTCTGGGGCATGTGCTTCTGGGGAAGTGTCTATGAATTAGTTACTTGGAAGGAGTCCCCCAAGAGTAGGCATAAAGCCTCCCTGGGGCCACAGGAAAGTAATTTGAAAGCTCCTGACCAGCAAATCTGCCCTTCTAAAGTGGCCCTTTAAGAACACTTGCTACCCAGCCCCTAGGTAGCAAAGAGCAGAGCCTAAACTGACATACCAGACACGCTGCCCCTGGGCCTGCTGATCACCTCCCTCAGCCCTTGTTACCCCAAGTCAGGAATGCAGGCCCAAGGCCTGAGGAATTTGCCTTTCTCTCTCTCTCTAGGTTGCTTTGCTGAAAGAAAATGCATTCTTGCGCTCTCAGCCTCATCTGGCTTTTTAATGCCTATGCAAGAAGTACCCGTGGCTTCCATCTTGGCCCGTGGTGTGTGTTCCTGTACCCTGTGCTGTGTGTTTGTGCTGGCCATTTCACGTGCGCCTCAGTTTATCTAGGGATCTTCTCCCAGATAGTAGCTGGGCTGTGTGGCCTTGAATAAGGCTTTCATTTTGCTGTCTGAAATATGAGAGTTGGACTGAATAGTTCCCTGGTTGCAGTGTTTTAGACTTAGTGTGGGGGCAGCAACTCCTTCAACCTCATGCTTATCCCCTGAAAGCCCCATTGAGCGGCCCCTCTGCCAGATTCCAGATTCTTTGTTTCACAGACCCTGAGTTTTCCTGCTCGACCCTTCTGGACACCTAGCTCACCTAGCTTGCTGCTAGAGCTCCAGACTCCTGGGGTGTGAATGAGGACATTTTTGTCTCTGGTTTTTGGTTTGGGGAAGAGGAGGCTAGGAAGCTTCCAGAAGCATAAAACTGGCAATCATGGGGGCGCCTGGGTGGCTTAGTTGGTTAAGCATCCGACTTTCGCTTAGGTCATGATCTCGCAGTTCGTGGGTTCGAGCCCCGCGTCGGGCTCTGTGCTGACTGCCAGCTCAGAGCCTGGAGCCTGCTTCAGTCTGTGACTCCCTCTCTCTCTGATCCTCCCCTGCTCACGCTGTCTCTCTCTCTCCTAGAAATAAATAAAACATTAAAAATTAAAAAAAAAAAAAAAAACTGGCAATCATGAAGTCCTGACTTGGTGAGGCAATTCCAGTTTCAGATGCTTTCATTCACTGGACCCATGTCATTGATTCTTTTTTTTTCCCCCCCTTTATATCCAGTAGTTCTCTGAGGTCTATCGATTCCTCTGTGCTTTTCCCACCTCCACCACTAGCTAGACTAAGCCTCTATCAGGTCTGCTCTGGGTGAAAGCACTAGTCTTTGATCTCCCAGCACGGCATGCTGCTCTTGCCCTCTTTCAATCCCACCCCCTACCCTTTTCCCATGGCATCCAAAATAAATGGTTTTTTTAACTTAAAATTTTTTTTTAATTTTAATGTTTATCTTTTAGAGAGAGATAGAGACAGAGCATGAGTGGGTGAAGGGCAGAAAGAGAGAGACACACAATCTGAAGCAGGCTCCAGGCTCTGAGCTAGCTGTCAGCACAGAGCCGGATGCGGGGCTCAAACCCAGGAGGCATGAGATCATGACCTGAGCTGAAGTCTGATGCTTAGCGGACTGAGCCCTCCAGGCGCCCCCAAAGTAAATGTTTTAAACATTTAAACATTTCATTTGTTTCATTTATTTCACTTCATTTGTTCCGGTGCTAAAATATCTCCCAATAGCTTCCCATTGCCTAACCTCCTCACCGTGACCCAAGACCTGACAGAATCTGGTTCCTGGCCTTCCAGCCACATAAGCTTCCTTTCTGTTTTTCAAAGATGCCAAAATTAGTTCCTGCCTTAGGGCCTTTGAACTGAGTGTCCCCTCAGCCTAGAACAATCTGCCCCCAGGTGTTAGCTGGGCTGGTTCCTTCTGGTCATCGAGGTTCAGCTCAAATGTCACATTCTCAAAAATGCCTTCTCTGATCACACAATCCAAAGTAGTCTTCTCTTCTCTCCCCATTCCCTTACAACCTCTCCCTATTATTACAATTATATAACTCCACACATATGACTACATGAAGTTGTTGGGTTTTTTGGGTTTTTTTTTACATTTTCCCTTTGTTTTTAATGCTTCATGTAATATAGGATGAGGCCTCCAAAATCGGAAGCTTAAAGGTTTTAAAAGAGCTCTATCACTAGCTCAGATTTCTCCCAAAGGAAGAATCCTGCTTTCTTAAGATTTCATCCTCTTTTTTTTTTTAATTTCCTATCTTTTTTTTTAAGATTTTATTTTTAAGTAATCTCTACACCCAACAGGGGCTCAAACTTGCGATCCTGATATCAAGAGTTGTGGGGTGTCTGGCTGGCTCAGTTGTTAGAGCATACCACTTTTGATCTAGGAGTTGTGAGTTCGAACCCCAGCCCGATGTTGGGTGTAGAGATTACTTAAAAACAAAATCTTAGGGGCATTTGGGTGGCTCCGTCCATTAAACGTCCGACTCTTGGTTTGGGCTCAGGTCATGACTCACGGTTTTGTGAGTTTGAGTCCCTCGTCAGACTCCGTGCTGATAGTACAGAGCTTGCTTGGGATACTTGGTCTCCCTCTCTCTGCCCCTCCCCCACTTGTGCTGTCTCAGTCTCTCTCAAAATAAACAAAAACTTAAAAAAAGAAAAAAGACTTTGGGCACCTATGTGGCTCAGTTGGCTGAGTGTCTGACTTCCGCTCAGGTAATGATCTCAGGGCTCATGAGTTCAAGCCCCACATCGGGCTTTGCACAGATAGCGTGGAGCAGGCTTCGATTCTATGTCTCCCTCTCTCTGCCCCTCCCTTGTTCTCTCTGTCTCTCAGAAATAAGTAAACATTAAAAAAAAAATTAAGGCCTAAAAAAATAAAGTCTGTTAAAAAAAAAAAAGAGTTGCATGCTCTACCCACTAATTTCCTCATCTTTAAATGGGGATGCTCATTAAAAAATTCATTCCAGAGTCAAATTGAGGACAAAATGAAATAATGTAGTCGAAAAAGACTGGTCTATCAGATGCAAAGTAGAATTAGCACTAGATTGTTTCCCCCGTCAGCTCCTGGAGCGCTGAGTAGTTGTTTTGTTCTTTTCAGCTTCCCAATCGGTATCAACTGGGTGCTCAACTGCAGGGGGCACTATTCATGTTGTACTTAACTTGAAGAGGCACCAATCACAGAAAATACAACATGAATGGTGCTCCCCTGAGCGCCATTCACAGAAAATACAGTATGAATGGTGCCTCCTGGAGTTGTGCCTTGCCTAGCCTGGTGCTAGAGTTAAGAATTCAGGAAATGTTTACCAAACGAGTAAGTGAATGGAATCCAATTTTACTTCTTGTTCATTCCACTTCTCAATATACAAAGGAAAAGTTGACCCCAGGTGGAGAGTAGGAGGAAAGGCTGTCATTAATCTACACACACTAATTATGCATCTAGCTACAAGGCTTCGATGCTTCAGTGAGATGGGCATGTTTGTGTGTGCTGGTAGTGATGTTGGCAGGAGGAGTGGATGTTAAAGCAAAGTCCTCTTGATTTTCCTTGAAATGTTAACCTCTTCTATCTCAGCATCGTCTGAATCTCGCTGACGACTTGACAGCCCTGGATTTACCACCCAAATTCTTAACGTTGAATTGCATTGTTCATTCATTTAAAAACGAGGGAGGAAGGGAGGGAGGAGGGAAGAAGGGAGGGAAGGAAGGAAGGAAGGAAGAAATGTGTTTTTAGCGCCGAACACGATACAAATTCTGTACTAGTGCTGGAAGTAAGAGTGATAAGACAGCAGAAGTCCCCACCCTGCATAGGGAAAACATACAACTGTACCTTATATCATGCTCCAGGTGTTACCATCCTCAGAAGCGGTGTTTAAACTGAGACTAGAAGAATAAGCACACCTGAGAGTACAAATGATACAGATGAGCAAGGCCAGGAGGGTTGAGAAACATGTCCCCTTGGGGCTGGTGCAGGGGCCAGATCGTACAGGGCTTGTGGAGTCATGGTTTTCTCCTGAGGTAATTGGGAGCCAGTAAAGAATCTTAAGAAGAAAAGCGACATGGTCAAATTTGAATTTGGAAACGCAACGCGGACTGGAGAGGACAAGGGTAGGACACAAAAGTCTCCCTGCCGGGACATTTGTAAAGGGGCTACTGCAGCAGTCTCGGCGACAGATGATGAGGTCTCCATTGGGTGGTTGACAGTGGAGATGGGGAAAGACAGGGGCAGCTCCAGGTGCATTAGGAAGCAAAATCCGACGGGGCTGGTAAAGAAAAATAACCATACTTCAAATTTTTTATTTTATTTTCTTTATTTCTTTCTTTTTTTTTTATTTTATTTTTTTTTTATTTTCTTTATTTCTGAGAGAGAGAGAGACAGCATGAACAGGGGAGGGTCAGAGAGAGAGGGAGACACAGAATCCGAAACAGGCTCCAGGCTCTGAGCTAGCTGTCAGCACAGAGTCCGATGCGGGGCTCAAACCCACGAACCATGAGATCCTGACCCGAGCCGAAGTCGGACGCTTAACCGACTGAGCCACCCAGGAGCCCCAGAAAAATAACCATACTTCAAATAAAGAAACCATGGGGAATAAACTAGACGTATATCGATTAAAAAAGAAAAGAAAAAAACCCAAATTTATTATGCTCCTTAGGCCACCTGGAGTCCCCCTTCCCTTAACCCTGTCGCCTCGATACGTGGAGACGACAGTAAGACGAGGGGCGGGGCAGGCGCCCACAAAAATCCGGGAACTTTTATTTAAAGTGGATGGACGTCACCGGAGAGCAGAATAAAGAACACAAGGCACTTCCTGTTACTCCGGAAGTGAAGACGCCTAAGCTCCTCCGCCGGCGGAGGGCCAGGTTGAAGGGATGGCCGGGCGGACCGCGCGGCTGGTGCTGCTAGCGGGGGCAGCCGCACTAGCAAGCGGATCCCAGGGCGACCGCGAGCCGGTGTACCGCGACTGCGTGCACCGGTGCGAGGAGCGGAACTGCTCGGGGGGCGCACTGAGGCACTTCCGCTCCCGCCAGCCAATCTACATGAGCCTAGCAGGTAAGCCCCACCCCGCGGCAGGCCCCGCCCCCGGCCTTGGCTCCTCCCCTTACGCCCCCTAAACAACCTTTGAGCCTTAGCTTTTTCCTCCGGGTACGTTGTTGTGTGAGTGACTGCGGCCCTGGGGTGGCTAGAGCACCATCAGCCAGTCTTACTTTTCCAGAAGTACTTTCATGTACTTTCTATTTATTCAGCCAAATGGATAGTTATTTAGTACTCCTTGGTATAGGCCCTAGAATGACCCTGAAGTACTTTCAAGTACTTTCATGTACTTTTTATTTATTAATTCAGATGGGTAGTTATTTAATACTCCTGGGTACACGCCCTAGAATGACCCTGAAATCAGACCAGCATCCTGCTGTTTGGGGTCAGTCTTCACGGAGACATTAGCCTTCTCCAATGCAAGTTAGAGGATGATTTCAGCCCTTAGGTCAAGCAGTAGGAGCATATGGCAGGAAGGAATCGGTTTTGGCTTCGAGAGGGTAGGGACCGTGATCATCTTGGCAATTCTGTGAAGGAAGGGCTTCAGGATGGATACGTTACGTTACATTTGGACCTGTGGCCACAGTGGTCACCTGTTGTGTGACAAGTGTCACAATAGGTCAGCTAATTTTCACATCCCTTTAAGGTAGTTTCTCTTAACCCTGTTTTACAATGGAGAAACTAGGAGAGGTGAAGGGCCCTGCCCAAAGTCACACAGCCAGTAATGGTAAAGTGGAATTTCCAGTTGCGGCCTGTCCGACTCCAAGTTTGTTCTCTTTACTATCTCTTTGCATTCCACAGCGAACAGAGAGAGTGGCGGCCCCGGGCAGATGTGGGCATATCCAGCAGCTTGGCTTACTCAGGGAGCAGAGTGCAGGGTGCATGAAACGGAGTATGGGAAATAAAGCTGGAAAAGGAATTTGGGGCCTCAAAAGTCAGAGTGAAGGATTTGGGCTTCATTTTCATAGGAAGGGGGTAAGATGGCAAGAGTCCCTGGTGAGCGAGAGGAAAGCCTAAGGTCAGCAAGAACAAACATGAACCCACCTATCCATTAATGAGTCCCCCAGATGCCAAAGTTCCCATCTTGGGGAAGGAGAAGAAACATCTCTGTTTGCTCACTGCACACCCCTATCCCCTGAAACACACACGCACACAAACACATACTCTTCCCTTATGCGCAGGTCCTATCATCTCTCATACATCCAAGTGTCAAGCTAGCACTTTGAGATTTCTTCTGGTTCTCTCCAACCTGCAGGCCCGCTTAGCCTGCATTTGAGCTTGAGTCCCATCTGAACTATCTCTGTGCCTTCCATGATAAGGAGTTCACCAGGTCACATTTCTCTGTTTCAGGCTGGACCTGTCAGGACGACTGTAAGTATGAGTGCATGTGGGTCACTGTTGGCCTCTACCTCAAGGAAGGTCACAAAGTGCCTCAGTTCCATGGCAAGGTGAGTTAGAGGGTCGGGATAGGTGTATGGTGGCAGTGTGGCGGGAGTAAGATACCCCGCAGTTAGACCACACCATCCAAGCAGTCTGAGCTGTGGGGTGATAGGCGTGTGTTTGGGGCAGGTACCTGTTCTCAAAATCTGCTGGTTTTCAGATAATCAGATAGAACCATGTATCCTGGCTCTAGATTTGGAGTCATAAGATCTGGGAAGCTTTGTGGTCCCAGAGAGCAGTAGTGGAGTGCTTAGCGTTGTGGACTGTCCTTGTGACAAGGACAGATTTTCTGACCCCCACCCCCTACCACAACCTTTCTTTTGCTTTTTCAGGAGAAGCCCAGATTAAAATAGTAATACCCCCTCAGATTGCCCAGTGAGTCATGGTTTGCTAGTGCTTTCTCATCCAATATGATTTTGTTCTGGACTGTTGACGTCGGCATGAATGATTTCCCCCAGTTTGTGAGAGTGAGCTGAGGCTCAGACCCTGTGGTCAGTGGTAGAGAAGGAGACTATTAGGACCTCTGTCTTCCTGATTGCAAGTCTGTGCCGTCTCCACCGGACGATACTGAGCCATCTGCACTGGCCCACCTGGTCTTCCCAGAAACCAGGCTTACGGGGCTGTGAGTGTTGGCCATGATAGAGGGAGGACCTTCAGCTAAGGACTGGAGGAAAGCTCATTGACCCGAAGAGGGACTGTACCTGAGGCTTTGGCGGAGATCCAGAGCTAAGGAGCCAGCTGAGGACCTGTTGATGTGGCGGTCAAGGAAAAGCAGGCTGGGCTGCTGGGCGTTGCTTGCTGCTCAGACCCCCTCCATGTCCTCCCTTTTCAGTGGCCCTTCTCCCGGTTCCTGTTCTTCCAAGAGCCCGCTTCTGCCCTGGCCTCTTTCCTCAACGGCTTGGCCAGCCTGGTGATGCTCTGCCGCTACCACACCTCCGTGCCGGCCTCCTCCCCCATGTATCCCACCTGCGTGGCCTTCGCCTGGGTAGGTACCTCGGTGGTACCCCTGCTCTACATCATCGGCTAGGAAGGAGGAACTCTCAGATCCCCATTCTCACCCAACAGGAGCTCCCCTTCACCTCCCCTCCCCTCTGTTTTCCAGGTCTAAAATTGCAGCTGTGGGGTGGTCTGGCCTCGGGAAAAGACAGGGAAGGTGCTGAATCAGACTGTACCTTTTTTTTTTTTTAACATTTATTTATTTATTTATTTAACATTTATTTAACATTTTAACATTAACATTTATTTAACACGAGCAGGGAAGGGGCAGAGAGAGGGAGACACAGAATCCGCAGCAGGCTCCAGGCTCTGAGCTGTCAGCACACAGCCCGATGCCAGGCTCAAACCCACAACTGTGAGATCATGACCTGAGCTGAAGTCGGCCGCTCAACCGACTGAGCCACCCAGGCGCCCCAGACTGTACCTTTCTAGCAGAGTCCTAGGCCAAGATGTTCGGAAGGGAGGGAGGAAGCCACTAAGAGACCCCACAGAGCAATTTACAAGCACAGAAGGGAGATGGGTGCTAGGGAGCATGCTGGGACCACAGGTCTTTCCGGGGACCCCTCTGGAAGACTCAGAGCAATCTCAGTGCCGCTCCAGGCCTGGAGGTATGGCAGCCACAGTACTCTGTGTAGAGCTCAGCCTGGTCTTAGACCATCCCTGAGAAGCTGAAATGTGTTCCGTGTGAGTATCCAGAGAGGGCTCTGAGCTTTACAGGTGACTGGTCAGAGAAGCCTGGAATTGTGTGGGAAACATGGACTAGGGTACAGATATGAACTGTGACAACCTTGGGGAGGGTGTGAGAGTAAGAGGTTGCAGTCAGAGCCCCCACTGTAAGCCTTAGGGAAACAGCCTGCTCACTCACCTTCCTGCCACCAGAGCAGCCATTAATTCATATACTGAGGGCCTACTATGTGCCAGGCACTTTGCTGGGTGCTGGAGATCCAAAAGTATATAAAAACATGCAGGGAGCACCTGGCTGGCTCATCTTTTTTTTTTTTTTTTTTAATAGGCTTCACACCTAGCATGGAGCCCAGTGAGGGGCATGAATTCACAACCCTGAGATCAAGACCTGAGCTGAAATCAAGAGTTAGATGCTTAACCGACTGAGTCGCCGAGGCACCCTGTAGAACATGCAACTCTTGATATAGGGTCGTGAGTTCAAGTCCCACATTGGAGGTAGAGCTTACTTGAAAAAAAAAAACAAACACAACAACAACAGGAAAACCAATTTCCTCTGGTAGTAACCACACAAGCACACAATAGAATGTAAAAGTTCTGGGAAAGTACAGTGGAGATGTGTTGTAGGGGTGTGGGATGGGGTTCTAGACCAGTACAGGGCAATCAGGGAAGGCTTCCCTGAGGAAGGAGCCTTTGAGGTAAAATTGGAATGATGAGAATGTTAGCTAGGTGAATTCAGGGAGAGTAGGAGGAGTCATCTACATAGAAGACAGAATGTGGACAGGCAGAAGAGAGTAAGAACCCTGAAAGCTAGGAGGCCTGCTATACAGGAAGCCAAGGAGTACGTGTGACAGGTAAGCAGGTGGGCAGCAAGTGGGGCCAGCCTAGGGGGCACATTAACACTTTAGATCTGGACTTTCAAAGCATCAGGAAGCAATGAGGGTCAGAGAGAAGAGGTTTCATGAGTTGATTGGCTTGGAAAACTCATTCTGGCTACCGTGTGGCAAACAGATTGAAGGGGTGGGAGTGGATGCAGGCGGCTTTAGCATAGGGCACGTAGCTAGACTAGTGGGGGGTATGGATTGTGGGAAGAGGGTATTAAAGAGAACTATGTTTGAGTATGTTTTGAGTTGACTTTAAAATGTTTTTTAAGTTATTTTATTTATTTAACGAACACATGCTTAGCTCTTACTGTATGTCAGGCACCATTCTAAGCACTTTATGAATATTAACCTTGTTAATCCCATAAAAAGCTTATGAGATAGGTAGTATTATTATCCCGAGTTTACAGATGGAAACCAAGGGCTTGAAAAGATTAAGTAGGGGCGCCTGGGTGGCTTAGTCGGTTAAGCGTCCGACTTTCGCTTAGGTCATGATCTCGCGGTTCGTGGGTTCGAGCCCCGCGTCGGGCTCTGGGCTGACTGCCAGCTCGGAGCCTGGAGCCTGTTTCAGTCTGTGACTCCCTCTCTCTCTGACCCTGCCCTGCTCACGCTGTCTCTCTCTCTCTCTCTCTCCTAGAAATAAATAAAATACATTAAAAAAAATTTAAAAAAAAAAAAAAAAAAGAAAAGATTAAGTAAACTGTGCCAAGAGCCAGGGTTTGAACCCAGGTATCTGGCTTCAGAGTCTGCACTTTTTTTTTTTTAAGTAGACACCATGCCCAACGTGGGGCTTGAGCTCATATCCCTGAGATCAAGGGTCGCATGCTCTACTGACTGAGCCAGCCAGATGCCCCCAGAGTCTGCGCTCTTACCATCTTAGCTGTGTTGATAAGCCTCACAGTAGGTTAGATGAGGAAAGAGGAATCAGGGATGACCCAGTGTTCGCACTTACGAGAGAGCGATAGAAGCCGTGAGTATGCGTGAGATCACCAAGGGAAGCTTAGCAAGAAGAGAAAGGATCTAGGATGGAGTCCTGAAGAGCCCCAAACATAATGATTAGATAGAGGGGTTGGGCCAACGACAGGGCCAGGGGTAGCTGGAGGGGGAGGTGGAAAAGTAGGATATTGGGTGGTTGGGAAGCCCTGAAACAAGAACAGGGAGGAGAGGGTAGGCAGTCCTCTTGAATTCTGCTGGACAGTCAAGAGAACTGAAGGCTACCCTGGATCCGGCCACCCCAAGGTCTCTGAGGACCTTAGGAAAACTGGTAGCGTGAGGATGCTGAGAAGTCCAGGCCAAGCCTCAGACTTGGGAGCTGGGGATTGGAAGGAGGGCGGGGGCGGGGGAGGTGTTAGGTGTTAAGCTTCTGGAAAATGTTGATCCTCAGTAATCTTTTCTATTTAACAAACATTAATAATAAGTGTTATATGAATTGCATAACAGGCATTGACCTAAGTACTTTACATATATCTTCTCATTCAGTCCTCATAATACAACTGTGAGCTCTGAGTAAGGCTCAGAGGGGGAAAACCTTGTCAAAGTCCCCAGCTCCCAGGTTGGTGACTGGTGGGCACAGGACAGACTCTAGGGCCGTCAGAGCACTTAGCCCCTCTTCTGGGCTGTCTCCATACACTGACAAATGTCTGTAGAGATAGGGGTTAGCACTTGTGGGAACTGAGGCCCCTGCCGCAAGAAGCTAAGCCCAGTGGGAAGTGCTGGTCCAGCTGGCCCAGGAGGCAGATGCAGGCAGAGCCGAGGAGGCTCAGGGAGAGAGCCCTGGAAGTAGTAAGGTGGGGAGACCGTGTCCTCTAAGTGAAGAGGGACACTTCAGGGAAGCCCAGAGAGGGAGGGAGGCTCCATCGGGGACTCGCAGGCCTGATAAGGCCTGAACACATATAGGTGACGGGGGGAGAGGGGAGAAGAGCCTGCATTCCAGGCTGGTGGCACAGCGGGAGCAGCGGGCTGGAAGCTGGAGGATGTGAGACTTGAGGAGGCCGCCTGGGCAAGGTCAGCCTGGCTGCCCTGTGGCTGAGTGAAAGGGAGGGGAGGGGGGTTAAGGTGGCACGGAGAGGGCCCTGGGTGCTGAGGGGCAGGAACTCATGCGCAGGCAGGGGCCCGGCATCCGCATGCCCTGTCACGGGCCTGGGTGGGATAGAACCATCGCTTCCTGTTTAGGCCTCTCTCAGAAGACGGAATTTAGTCCTGACCAAGAAGGCAGGAAGGGCAGAGAAACTGAGGAGAGTACACCTGTCCCTTTTCCCTTAGGGTTCTTCCAGGGGTTGCCGCTTTCTGGGCCCACAGCCCGTAACCCCTGCCCCCTGCCCTGCTCCAGAGCACTGGACGGCCCTGCCTGAACTCTCTGAACAAAGCTTAGATCCTCCTTGGATGGACACACAGGTCTGAGGGACCTCAGAGGGTCCCTGCCCTGGCCAGTGGTCATGTCACAACACTCGTCTTGATCTCCCTGATTCTTGGGTCTTTCATCTCACTGGCCTGTGCCACTTAGCTTCCTTCTTGGTGAAGGTCACACCTCCCATACCCTGCATCCAGCGTGACCAAGGACCCTGAGGGACAGAGCAGACGATGTTAGGTTGACAGAGGCCCAGATACCCGGGGGCTGTGTCTTAGGGCATCCTACGGGCTCCGGGACATGGAACCTCCTCATGCTGTCACTAGGCCCCTGAGAGACAGAGACTCAGTGTCCACACTCCCTCTGATGACCCAGCCTGGGTTGTACACTTGATCTTTAGTCCTGTGCGCCTGTGTTTACAGGAGGGAGGGATCCCGAGCTGAATGGAGGGTGCAGCAGTGGACTTTGTCTTGGGCTGGGTCTTCTGGAGCAAGTGGGGCTCGTGATTTCTGTTGGGATAGGATGGGAAGGCCTTTTCCGAGTTCAGTCTTGTGGGGGGGCAGGGAGTTGTCTCAGCCTTTTCCCCTGGGAAACGAGGAGACCCCGCCCCGGTAGGGCTAATGAAGCTTTGGCACAAGAAGGCAGCCTCTGCCTTGACATTTGCACCTGGGCTTGGGCTGGGAGGCTGCCAGAGCTCTGCACACCACAGACCTTTGACTTCAGGGAGCCGGGGGCCCCTGCTGTCTGTAGAGCCAGGAGGCCAAGCCAGTTAGTTCCCCGCCCCTTTGCTCAGGGAGGAAAGGTCCTCAGGAGTAGAGGTGAGAGGATGAGGGTGCAGGGAAAGCCCAAACTGTCTCTGTTGGATGATTGATGGAGGTGGGGACTAACTGTGCTCTACCTCTGCTGAGGACACTACAAGAAGAGACAGGTTGAACCTGAGCCTGCAGCAGAATGATGGTTAGACTTCAGGAAGGACTTCCCATTGGTCAGACAATGGCAGGAAATCAAGGAATCCTTTTTGGTGGTGGAAAAAGCCTTCTTTCCCCCCATCTCCATCCGCCTCTTCCCCTCTTCTCTCTCAGGAGTGAAGTGGAGCAGGGTTGCCCTGCCTGAGGCAGGGGGTGAGACACTGTGGCCTCTGCAGGGGTTGGGGGGGGCAGGGTGGCAGCAGGCGTCATATTTAACATTCTGCCTCCCCCAGTTCTGAGACACTGAGCTATTTAAAGACCCACATGTCCCCACCGCCACGGTGTCAATGACAGCCCCGAGCACTGGGGCTTAGCACTGGGGTCGAATTCCTGACAGATCTGGCTCATTTGGCATCCAACCAGTTTCACGGCTGTGATATTTTTGTCTCAATTTTCTTATTTTCCAACAGACTGAAACAGCCTCCTGCTCTCCCTCACCCAGCCTTCTCTGTCCCCCTCCATTTCCACCCTTGCTGGCACCCTGCCCCTGGCCTCCCCCTCTCCTCAGTGTTGACACAAAGCTCCTGGTGCCTGCTGGGCAGCCCAGCACCCTCCTGGCCTGTCTGATTGGCCAGTTACCATCTACCTCCCCCCATTCTACTCCAGCTTGGCTGAGGAGTCTGGGAGCAGCCGTACGCTTGTGTCTTGGAGCCTCTCCCTTCCTTCTTCGTCTGTCTGTCCCCTTTGCCTGAGTCTTGACTACAGACTCTGAGTGAAGAGAAACAGTATCTCTTCAGTGAATCCTGGGGGGGAAACTGACCTATATGGGAATACCTACTGTGTGCCAGGCAGCTGTACAGCACCTGTTTATTGAGTGGCTTCTTTGTGCCAGACATTCTGCAGGATTCATCTCCAGGACCCTCTTAGGCAGTGGATATTATTATTAACCCCATTTGCTAGATGAGACAACTGAGACTCAGAGATTTTTATCGGTTCAAGATCACACAGCTATTTAGGGGCTGAGGCAGAACTTGAATCCAGGATCTGTCTTATTCCGGAGGCTCTGGAAATTCTGCCGCCAGTGTGAACAGTGGGGGTGGGGCTAGGTAGCCGTGGGGAGACCACCGCTTCTCCCTCCAGACTTCTTCGGCCTTCAGGGAGAGTGGGAGGCAGACTTGGCCTCTTCGGCTTCAGGTCTGTGGAGAGATGTGAGAGTCCCGTGCTGCTCAACAAGTTGGGGACAAATAACACCTCATGTTTTACCCTGTCCTGGGCACTGTGCTAACCGTTGTGTTTGTATTGCTCATTCAGTCCTTGTCAATACTATGATTATTCCCAGCACAACAAGGCCAAATAACTTGCCCAAGGACACACGGGAAATGCAGAATCAGGATTTGAACCCCGGCAGTCTGACCCTTGGGCCTGAATCCTTAATGACACTATCTCCCAAGTCTGAGGAGAGGGTCAGAAGAGGAGTGCCTCATAATGGGACACTGCCCAGGGGAGAGGGGACATTTCAGGGGTGCAGAGTCCAGGCTTCAGGTGGGCCTCTGTAAGTGGAAGGCACCCTGGGAAGGTGGTTGGACAGGGGACCAGGCAACTCCCATTCCATCCCGTGGAGCTAAGCCCTGGCCCTGTGCTTCCCCTCCCTCGCTTTCAGTGTTCCAGCCACCACTTAGCTCAGTCTTCTTGTCACCTCTCCCTTCCTGCTGTGGGTGACAAGCAGGCCTGGTTGGCTGCCAGTCCCTGCTGCCTTGCCCTCCACCTCCCTCTCACACTGGCTTGGGGGCCATTCTCCTCCCCAAGAAGTGTCCCTGTTCCTGGCCTGCCCTGGAGACCTGGCTCGTGTGATCTCCTGGGCCCTGCCTCCAGCCCCAAGTCTGCTCCTCCCTCCATGCTGACCCTGAGCGTCACAGCCCTTGTGGGAACAGTGTCTTAGAAGCCACCCCGTTCTGTCCCATTTTCCAGCCTCCAGACCAGGCCTCACATACCATCCCTGGGGAAGGGGCAGCACCCAGGATGGGACTGGATGGCCGTCTTCAGAAGAGCAAGCAACCTGACTTAGAATAATCGCCTGATGCCAGGGCTGGAAAGGGACGAGGGATCACTTAGGCTAGCTCCTGATTAGTCACGGGGGTAAAGCTCAGGCCCAGAGGGCAGGGCCTATGTCCAGGTCCTGAAGAACATAAGCCGAGAGACTCAGCCTAGGACCCAGGCCAGACAGGCTTGCGTGTGGCTACCTGAGCTCCCAGAGACCTCCGGTGCTGACTGGCTTTGCACAGAGGCTTGCCTGCCTCCACCCCTTTGCTCTTCCCATTCTCTCCTCTGGCCCTTCAGGCCCGCAGCAGGGAGCCCGCCCCGCTGCCCGGCCCTGCTGCGGGACTGGATAGAGGGGTCTCTTGCCTGCTTCCCTGTCCTGTGCCTGGCCAGTCTTCCTGCTGTCCTGGACCCAAGTGAGCAGCTCCTGGCCTTTACCTGTCTTTGGCAGGCCTTTCCCACCCTAGGCCATCCCTCTCTATCTCCAGGGCATTCTAGGCCAGACCTCAGACTGCTGATGTTTTCCCTTTGCGGGTTTTTTCCCTTTGACCGACTGTCACTGGTAGCCCAGCCCAGCGCAGGGAACCTCCACCTTGGCCCACTCTTCTTCAGTGATTTGGGCCTCGACCTTGGACACAGCCCCAACTCCCACAAGGTCTAGGACTCATTTGCAAGATGTTTTGTACTGTCTCCTTGCAGTTAATTTCCAGGGACAAGGCCTCGAATGGTCTCCTGGGCCATTGCCCGCCGCAGCCCCTTCAGCCTTCTGTTCCTCCCAGAGCCTCAGAGCAGCAGCCACTGGTCTGGCGGGTTGGGCTGGGCCACCCAGGAGGAAGCTGGGCTCAGTTGGCCAGCCTCCTCCGGAGAGACTCAGCCCCAGTGGGATCTGCTGGATCTCCCTCCCTTGCCTGCTTTGCTCAGGACACACCCCAAGCTGGCTCGAGCCCCTCCACCCCACCCACCTCATTCCCGCCCCCAGAGGCTGAGGTCACTGGCTCCCCTGGCCCGGGTGGGGCTGTCATCACCTGCCAGTTAGGGGAGGAGGCGAGGCCCCCCCAGGGGCTGTTGTCTTAGCGATTGAGTAAGCAGGGAACTTGGCTCTGCCGGAACCAGGAGCTGGTTCCTGGGCCAGGCCGGAACCTGTGGAGGCTGCAGCCCCCCGTGGCCTAGGGGGTTCAGGGTTCCTGGAAGCTGAGGGCGCACGTTTGTTCTCGGGGCTCCAGGGGCAAGGGAAGCATGTTTCTCTGCTCCAGAGGGCCCCTTCCCCAGCATGAGACTCCTGTGAATGCTCTAGGAGCCCTCCCCACCCGGAGCCACCTCGCTTACCCAGCCCCTCCCTACAGGTCTCCCTCAATGCCTGGTTCTGGTCCACAGTCTTCCACACCAAGGACACCGACCTTACGGAGGTGAGCGCCCCTCCGGCTCCCTCTCCTGCTTGGGACAGTCCCAGAGAAGCCCCAAAAGGGGTGGGGGGGTCAGCTCTTAGGTTTCACAGGGACTCCATTTACAGAGCGCTTGCTATGTGCTAGGCATTTTTAACCTGTTCGTGCCCTTGCGCCTTGCTTGACCCTGGGGAGGTAGATGTGATTATTGGCTCTTCGTAACTGATGAGGCAGCCGAACTTTGGAAAGGCAGAACTGCTTGCCCAGGCTCACCCGGCCCCTAAAGGTGCAACCGGGACTTGGGCGCACGGCTGCGGGACTCGAGGCTGCGCTCCGAATTCTGTGCTGTGCTCGTATACTCTGGAGTCTGGCAGGCCCCTCCACCGTTGCTTCCAAAGCCTCGCTGCTAAATGCATTTAAAAAAGTTGTAGAATATGAATACAAGGGTCAGATTGTTAAATTCAGGAGTGAACAGCAACAGGCACGAGACATGGACCCCCATGTTAGAGTACGGCTGCGCCTCTGCCGCCCCTATGCCTTCACCCCTGATGGGTCATCTTGGGGTCCTGCCCACATGAAACCTTTGCCGCCTCCCCTCCCCTCGCACTGGCCCCTCACCCAGCTCTCCCTGTCCTCAGAAAATGGATTACTTCTGTGCATCCACCGTCATCCTACACTCTGTCTATCTGTGCTGTGTCAGGTGAGCCCATCTTGGCCCCTGTGGGGGCAGAATCAGGCACTAGGGGCAGAAAGGAGTCGCCCCGCCCCCCCCCCCGGAGGCGCTGTCCCCAGGGTCTTGCACCCCAACTCACACACCCCTGGGCTGTTCTGAAGGGAGGCTTGGGGGTCGAATTGGCTCTTTCCAAGGAGCAGAGGCACTTGGTCCCAGGCCCTGGGTGGGGGGGGAGGATTGGAGGCCTCCCCAGCTGGCCTGTTTTGGTGGGAGAGGAGGGCAGTGGCTTCCACGTACTGATGTCGGGGTGAAGGGATGCTTGGGCAATGCTGCTCTGGGCATGCGCCACCCTCCACCTGAGCAGCTCTGGATGGTGGGGCAGGACCGTGGGGCTGCAGCACCCAGCTGTGGCCAGTGCCTTCCGGGCCCTCCTGCTGCTAATGCTGACCGCGCATGTCTCCTACCTGAGCCTCGTCCATTTCGACTATGGCTACAACCTGGCGGCCAATGTGGCTATTGGTGAGGCATGAGGGGGACTGAGGTCCCTGGGGTTGTGGAGGAGGGAGGGGACCCATCCCATCTGTAGAACTGCTGGCCTGGGGTCGAGGTAGGGATTTGGTGCTCTTCCTGGAGAACGTTCTAGAGAGCCCCTTAGGGTGGGGGAAGGGGAAAGAATTTGGGGTGGGAGAGAAGGAGGTTGGGGGGAGAAGGAGGCCCAGGGAATGAGCCTCTCCCCACCCCCACCCGCACCAGGCCTGGTGAACGTGGTGTGGTGGCTGGCCTGGTGCCTGCGGAACCGGCGGCGGCTGCCTCACGTGCGCAAGTGCATGGTGGTGGTGCTGCTGCTACAGGGGCTGTCCCTGCTCGAGCTGCTGGACTTCCCGCCTCTCTTCTGGGTCCTGGATGCCCATGCCATCTGGCACATCAGCACCATCCCGGTCCACGTCCTGTTCTTCAGGTGGGTGCCGCCGTCTGCCCAGTGTGCACCTTCTTCGTGCCCATCCTCACCTGCTCCTTTGAGGAGACTGAGGCCTCTGTGCACGGCTGACCCCCTGCCTATACTCACCCCCACGGGGTGCTTTCAAAGCCATACCTCACTGGGCTCCTCCCTCTGCCCACAGTTTTCTGAAAGATGACAGCCTGTATCTGCTGAAGGAATCAGAAGCCAAGCTCAAGCTGGACTGAAGGCCCTGGGAGCGGGTCTGCCCCACTGGGGGTCCTGCCATCCCCCCTGCTGCTCCCCTTCCCCTTATAATCCTTGAGATGATTAATTTTTTTTCCTTTTAGCATCTTGAACTTGGACGTGAAGGGTGTGGGCCCAGAATCATGTAACTGTCCATCCCCTTGCTTGCCCCCACATGGCCCTCCCAGGTCTTGGAGTCTGCTCAGGCTTGGCCTCTCAGCATCTGGGGTTAGAGAATGGGCAGCGCCTCTGGTTCCTGGAGCAGAACTGGAGTGGAACTGTGTTCTCAGCTCCGCCAAGAGGAGAGCTGCCGCTGCCTCTGCCTCCCCGTCAGCCTCTTCCCCACATCCCCTCAGTGCCTGGGTGGTTCCCACAGCTGTCTGTCTTACCTGGGAGACCAGGTACCACAGGCCTTTGGGGACAGTGGGGTCTCCTCCTGTTACCCCCTGCCCTCTTCTGGGGCACCACTAGGTGGCACTAGACTCTTGCTCTTTGGCTGCCTGAATTCCAAGGCAGGTCTCATTCTCCCTGTGGGATCTTGAGGGACAGACCCGCAGGGACTGGGGAGTGGTCTTACCCTGACTGTTGCCTCAGCCAGACCCCCAAGAGACCTCACTACATTCCTTCCCCCTTTGAGGCCAGAACCCCACAGAACCCAGGACAGGAATCCCTCTGGCTCCTCTGCTAAGGTTCTGGTGGGGAGCCTGCACATGAGTGTATAAGGGAGTGTGAACCAGACTGAGTGCACAGGTGGCAGGGTGGCGGGCACGGGCCTGGGGTGTGTGGGATGCTGGGTGAGACAGTGTGCATGAGCATGTGTGGAGAGTGGGGTGGGCTGTGAGTGGTTTTAAAGTGTGTGCTGCAGGACAGGGTGGGTGTGAGTGCCATGAGTGTACCACACAGTGGGGGGGGGGGTTGGAGAAATATGGGGTATCAAGTTACCACCACCAACTACCTATTAAGCACTAGCTCTGCACAAGCCCCCAGGCCAGGCAGAGAGCCACGATTTCCTCAAAGTCTGGCTCGGGGTCCCAGCCGTACGTGTGTGTTTCTGTCCATTGCCCCCACTTTACAGCCCTCCAAATCTCGGAGGGCCCACACACAACTCAAGATCACCCTCCAGAACCAGCCTCTTGGGAGGCGGAGGGAGGAAGGGAAACGGGGCTCCCCTGGCCTCTCCAGCCACTGTCTCCTTGCCTGGGCTTGGTTGGCCTCCCCCTCTCCTAGTGCCCACCAGCTAAGCCTCTTTGTCACAGCCTGGACCTTGGGAAGGGGGGCAATCTGAGGGAGGAGGAGAGAAGGGTTGTGGCTGGGCCTGGTTTCTGGCCTCCCCAGAGACAGGCAGGGGTCACCTCTACCTGGACCCCAGTAAAGGTGACCCCTGCTGGTTGCCAGCAGCCCTGGCACATTCCTGCTCCGCAGGGATAGAATGTGAAGCTCCAGAAACTTTCCATCCAAAGGCATTCTGTGTGACCGGAGCAGAGAGTCTGGGTTCTTGTTCTTTCCCTGTTGCCTTGTCCCTCCCTGGAGTCAGGGTGCTGTGCTAGGACTCCATCCTCAGACTTGGGTGACCCGTGTTTCTTTTGATATTGAGAACTATTTTAAGGTAGGAGGGAGGGTAGCAAGGGACATTCTTAATAAACCAATTCTCAGCCTCACCTACCCTTGTTCAGCTCATTTGTGTGAGTCGTGTGGGCCTGAAGGGAAGGAGAAGACACCTGGCTGGAGGTAGTAGGCAGGTGGGGTCTCTGCCTAGACACGCGGGGCTGGGGATGGCAGGGACCAGATGCAGAGCTGGGCGGAGCTCCAGTGGGGGGTGGGGGTAGTGTTAGGGGAGGGAGCATGTGCCTGCATTGTAACTCCTTCCCCCTGCACTGTCCACTTCAGTCTCCTGAGTATCTCCCCACGCCTCCCCTTCTGGCCTGAACTAGGCTCTACTACTGTTTGTTTCTTAACCTTCCTGAATTTCACCTGCAAACAGGCCAGCAGGACCTGATGAATGTGAGGACTGAACGGACCTAATAGGTGCCTGGCACATGGCAGATGCTGAATGAGCAGCCGCTGACCTTGGCTTTCCTTTGTCTGGGAAGAATGAGTGGTAAAGAAATCTACCTTCATGGAAGCTTCTGGAGAAAAAAAAAAAAAAAAGGCTAAGGTTGGTGGCTTCCACAGCCCCACAACCCCAGAGAGAGAGCTCTGGGTCCTTGTTTCCCAGAAGAGCCACAGACAAAGGTGACTTTCAGCAGGAGGAACTTATGTCTTTATTAGGTGCCACCTCAGATAACAGGGAATCTGGGTATAGGAGAGCCATCAGCACAGGTGCACTGAGCCATCACACCCCCACCTTCTTCTGGGCCCAGGCAAAGAAGATGCCCTTGACATCGTCGACACCTGTCTGAAGGCAGGCAGGCATGACATAAGTGCGCAGGTCTCGCACCTCATAGCCACTGCGAACCAAGGCCGCCATCACCTCCTCCTTACACATGGGTACCACCACCAGCCTGGCCTCCCCAGCCAGGTACCATGACTCCTCTAGGGCCCCGATGAGGAGGAGGTGCCCCCCAGGCCTCAGCAGGGTGGTGATGTGGTCCAGTGCCCTCTGGAAGCTCGCAAGATCTGGGCTTACAGCCTCCAGGCAGAAGGCAGAGACCAGCGCGTCGGCAGGCAGGGGCGCCAGGCTCCGAGCACCCAGAGGCTGGGGCTGGTGCACATCAATGTGCAAGACCCGCTTCACCCTGGCTCGCAGCTGGCGCTCCTTTTCCTGCCAGGGCTCACTGTGCAGGGGCAGAAGGCAAGGTCAGGACCAGGGCTCAGGGCTGCCCCACATGCAGTCCTCTGTTGCCCCCCCATCCCCCACCCCCACCAGCCACTCCATGGGAAGCTCCCTTACCCCTTGCCCTCGATGAGGCAGACGTGCTGGCTGTATGTGCTCCAGTCAAAGGCCCCAGGCTCCTCCCGAAGCCAGAGCCCCAGCTCCTGGCGGTTCACCTCCAGAAAATCTGTCATGGTGATGTCCTCAAAGTGGGTGCAGGCGCTGAGCAGCTGGTATATGGTGGGGCCTGAACCAATGTCGATGAGGGTATGTCCGGACACCTCACCTGCGTAGGGAGGGCAGAGGAAGAGGGTCCTGGTGCCAGCCCTGCCCAGGCATCTCCTGCCTCAGTCACTCTCTCCCTTACCTGCTTCTCCTCCCTCACTCCCTTCTCCCTCTATAAGTGTATCTGCATCTGGAAGATGCGTTCACTAACCTGGATCTGAGTCCCAGTCCAACATAGACTGACTTTGCCTTGGGAAAGGAACTTAACCCCTCTGAGATTCAGGTCCCACATCTGCGGAACTGTCCTTACAGTGAGGCTTAAGAGGGGAAATCCAGAGGTGCTGGGCAGTTTCCGCCATTGCCTCTCTTCCCTCCCCAATGTCTGCTTCCATCTCTTTCTTGGCGTCTTTCTTCATCTGGGTCTCCTTCCTGCATCCCCCACTTCACCTCTCAGTTGTGACCGATCTGCCCTCCCCCCCCATTCCCTCTCCACAGGTCTCTCCTCTCCCCCACCCCCGCCCCCCAACGGGATATTGCTTCTCTTCCTCCTCTGTTTCCACTCTGAACTACCTATCTGTGCTCCTTGGCCCCCATCGGGCTCTGGCGTATGCCCCTTTAGCTCCCTGATGACTTCTTGTCCTCCGGGCCTCAGTTTCCCCGTGCTCACCGGTGGCAAAGGTCTGTGCCAAGCAGCGTAGCTTCCAAGGCCCGACGCCGTCCAGGCTGCTCAGGTCTCCCCGAGGGGGCGCGTAGTTGTTGCGGAGGTAGGCGCGGGGCTCGAAGCGCTGGTAGGCGGAGGCGACCGCCGCCCGGCCCGGGTCCGCGCCCGAGTCGGGGGCTGCGCCCGCAGCGGGATTCGGGTCTGCCGCGCTCATGCTGCTGCCACCGCCCGCCCTGTCCTCTCGCTTCGCGGCCCCTTTATCTGCGGCCCAAGTCCCCGCCCGACCCTCCGCTGCGGGGGCGGCGGCCGCGCCAGGAACCGCCCGGGGCCCCGCGCTGCATCTCCCCCACCCCATCCATCTCCCTTAGTGTCGGAGCAGCAGACACCCGGGGCGCGTGTGGGGCGGCCCGGGCATGTCTGACCCCCCACCCCCACCCCGCACCTCAGCTGCGCCCGCACCCCACCACCCGTTGCCTCACCGGGCCTGGCCCAAGCCAGCCAGCTTGGTGCCCCAGGGACCGTTAGATCCCCGCCCCGCCAGTCCCCAGCGCCTCCCGTCGCTCTCCTCCAGCTCCCCAGCCATTCACCCCCTTCGCCCGGCACCCTATTCCTTCTCTTCGGCCAGAGTTCGAATCGACGCTCTCCCATTGCCCACCTCCCAGCGCTCTCGTCGCAACCCCGGGCTCGGCCCCCTCCGGGCTCTCCTTCCTCTGGGACACCCCGTCCAACATCCACCCCGCTCCTCGGTTAGGTCACCTCAGCTCCCCCCTCCTCCAGCCCTCTTTCGTCCTTTCCTACCAACCCTCGTCCCCCAGTCCCTCCTCCCCCACTCCGGAAAGGACAGTCCGTTCTGGCCTCCGCCACGGTCGCGGTCGCCCCGGGGGCCCCAGAGCGGAGCTCCGGCCCCGCCCGTCCGATGCAAGCAGCGATAGGGGATGCGAGCGGGGCTAATGCACTTAGCCTTCCGAACAACGGGACCTCCCTGCTGGCCCTGAAGGCTCTGAGCCTCTTATCTGGGGGCTTCTGAGGGCAGAAGGCTCGGGATATTCTAGCCACGTCGGGCACGCGGGTCCCTGGTGAGGGCTGAAGGACGCAGGCGTTCTCCAGGCCGCCCTGGTCGCCAGAGCATGGGCTGGGCCTTCCGTGCCAAGGGATTTGGAGTTGTGCCAGTCTGGGGTCTCCCACCCCTCTCCTTCCCCAGCCCTCCCGCATTTCCCTCTCTTGCGGAGGGGGCCGGGCCAGGCCTGTAGGTCCTGCTTGGCATTCCAGGCCAAGATGCAGGGTCTCACCCCCCATCTTCCCCAAAACAGAAGTGGAGTCCATGGGGCCATCTCCACGGTCTTCCTGGCGTAGACCCCTCTGGGCCAGTCCAGTGTCCCTCTGCCCTGGTTAGGTCACCAGTCCCTGTCCAGATAGACCCCTAGCCTCCTCTGTGCCCTCACCTCAGTGCCCTCCCTGGTCCCCACCTTGTCACAAGAGGAACATGTCTCCTTATTGGGCCAGGCAATCAGATTGGGACATGAGTCACAGCAGCTGCAGGGGTCAGAGACAAGAACCTGACCCTGCACTCCCCACAACCCACCCTGGGCTCCCTGGGCAGGGTGGGTAGAGTGGCTGACCTGAGTCAAGGACTGATCCTGTCTGGATTCAGAACTGAGAGGCAGGTCAGCCTGGGGGTCAGTGACCCCATCCACACCCTTAGTAGGTACAGCCAAGGACAGTCCTGGTGCCAGCCCCCTCCCTACTCTCCATGAGATCATTTAAACACCCCCTGGATGCCAGCTGGCCTGCTGGGCACTGCCCAGTGCCAGGGGACTGGACACAGAGGCCAGGAACTGCACAGCAGAGCCAGGGCAAGGAAGGGGGCCTGGACAGACTGCCACCCTGTTTACAGCTCTGTCCCTGTCTCCCCCGCCCCCACCCCCAAGCATGGAGCGCACCCACCAGCTCTGCCATATTTAGCTCAGATGCAAAGCCTATTCCCAGAAGTGAGCTTGGGGGGGGGGGGCGGCGGGGGGACACCACGGGTTGGCCCTCACAAGGAAAGAGACAAAAAGTCTGGAATGCGATTGAGCATTTATTGCAGCACTAACAGAGGATGCTGGGGGCCCCACTCTGCCTCTGCCTTCTTCACGTCCCCCTCACATCAGTCTTCTCCAAGCCTCCTTCTCAGAGCATTCCAGATCCCCTTAACACTGTTCCTCATCCTTCTCTGAAGCTGAAGCCTGGACCAGGATCATTCCTCTCAGTGACCTCCTGTCCTCACCAGCACCTTCTGTCCTTTCTCCTGGGGCTGGGGGTACTCGGCTGTGCTGGCCCCCAGCTCTCTGCCCTTAGTGCCCACTGTCTTTGCGCCCCTCCCTTTGGGAACTCAGGCATCCTGGCCTCTGGCTCCCTCCTCCCCTAGCCCCCAACTCTGGGCAAACTACAAAGCATCCATGGCCAGCAGCTGCCCTCCATGGTCCTAGCCAGGAAGGGCCCAGCCCACGGCGGGCACAGTGGAGCCCGAGTCACCATCCCTCTCAGCCTCTCTGTGCCTCCTGGGACATGGAGCGGGACAGGGAGCGACGAAGGGTGCCGGGCTTGCTGACAGGCACCACAGGGGGCAGCTGCTTGGTGATTTCGGCCACATCCTGGCGCTCCAGACACTGGCCCCCCAGGGCTGTCTCCAGTGCCAACAGCTCCCGCAGCTGGATGGGGGTGTCCTCGCGCTCCTCCTTGGCGGCACCCATCTTGGCGGGGGTGAAGATGGGCAGTGGCAGCACCCGCTGGTAGGGCAGCTGGTACTCCTGCAGCCCGCGGCCGAGGATGCCCATACGCATCACCAACCAGGGGGAACGCTGCACCAGTGCCTGGCACTGTCCCTGCCGGTGGTAGGTCTCATGCCGCTGGGTGTCCTCCTCGTGCAGAGAGCAACTGGGGAGGAGAGGGGAGGGGGGGTGCCCTCCAGTCACCAGCTGGGTAGGGGGCTCCCTGGGGCTGCCAGGACCTGGGGTGCATAAGGGGTGACTCCACTCTCCCCAGCGGGCCCTCTCCTTGTCCCTACCCCCAGAAATTTCTGCAGGGCTTTGTGCCCTGGCCTCCTGAGCCTCAGGAGGGGTGTTGTAGGGGAGAGGAGGGACTCCCAGCTGGCTGGCACTCACCCCTCCTCGGGCCGTGTGGACAGCGTCAGATCCTTCCATTCAGCCCAGAAGGCTTCTCGCCGCTCACAGTCCTCCTCAGACACCTGGCAGCTCAGCTCTGCAGTCGCCATGATCAGTGCTCACTCCCTCTCAGCTCTGCTCCTCCCAGGCCCTTTAAATAGCCCCCTCTTCCACCTCCTCCAGGGGTTATTTTCAGCCCCTCTGGCGTCAGATGCTATAAGCAGAGCCAAGGCTCACTGATGGGGGACTCTGGGCCCAGGGTGGGGGTTGGGGTACCTGGATTCCAACTGGCCTGGCCCCTGCCCCCCAGGGTCAGCAGTCAGCTTCTCAAGAAATCAAGATGCTCCAGCAGGGCTCCAGCAGGGGACAGAAGTCCTCAGAGTGACACCTCCAGGTGTCTGACACCCCTTTGACACTGTCTGAGACCAGGCACATGCCCAGCCTCGTGCTACCTTGGCACTTGCCCTCTGCCCCACCCCTTTCCTCTCGCCCAGGGAAGACAGCGGCCTGTCTGTAAACAAAGCAAGAAATGGCAGGAATCGAGGCCGTTCTGGGCTCTGCACCAGGCCGTCAGGTCCTATCCCCACACCTCTCCTCTGCCAGGGATCAAGGGCATACCCCCGGGCCACACCCCTTGACCGGAAGGGACAGTGCAACCACGTCCTCGGGTGTCTGCATCCAGAGCCCTGGTCCTCGACTGCCACCACCACACTGGCAGGAAATTACTTGGTTAATTCCATACCTGGGACCCTGGGTATGAACCTTTGACAGATGTTTTCCTTTCTCACAGCCAGTGGTCAAAGGAGTGGTTTCCCAAGTCAGGTCGTAAAGAGCAGATGTGGGTGGTGGCCCCCGTCTCTATCACCAACACCCCCAGGCACGTGGGATGGGAATTCAGGGGCTCTAATGAGTGGTACAATCAGATCTGGCTCTAACTCCAACTCGGCCATAAACAGGCTTTGTGACCATGGGGCTGTTTGTGCCCCTCTCTGGGCCTCATTCTCTGGTCACAACAGCCTGACCAGCTCTACTGTGGCATCTGGGAGGGGCCTGGTTCTCATTCAAGGGGAGCAGGATGGCTGCTGGGGAAGCCCAGCACCCCAGGGGAGCAACTTACAGTGCAGGAAACATGGGGTGCAGGGCACGGAGGCGGGGGTGAAGAGTGAGGGCATCACTGAGTGGACACAGCAAAGGGCACAGGAAGAGGCCGCACAGGTGCAGAGGGCCCTGCAGGAACCGCACAGCACCCAGCGGTGGGAGAGGCCCGTGGGCGCCCACCTGGGGCAGACCTGCACGCCCGATTACTGAAGCGTTAGGCCTGATTCTTGTTTTCTTCTAATCTTACGATACCCCGGTGACCTAACATTTTACAAAGCAGGAAATGGAGGAACTGAGAGGTAGATTTGCCCAGGGTCACATACCTAACAAGGCCCCAAATAGTACCCTTCTGGCGCTCTGCCAGTTGCCCCGTGGGGAAGCCTGCGGGCAGGGAAGGAGGAAGGAGGGCAGGTGTGGCAGTGGCCCCTGGGAGGCCCCTGCCCTTGGCCTCGGGCTGACTCGATGCTGCCCCTAGTGAGTGTGCTGGGGCGGAGAGGGTAGGTGAGCAGAGCCAGAAAGACTGAGACCCCAGAGGTGCCTCAATGACCCAGGAGCCCAGGCCCCACCCCAGGCCGGCTGTGGGACCCCAAGGACAGTCAAGGCCTGCTATGCATGCTGCCAGGTCTCTCTTACCTCCCCCCAGATCCTGGGCAGATTATCCCCGGACTTTCCCTCACAGGAGGCCTGGCTGGAGGGAGAGGGGGGCGCATTTTTCTCTGACCAATCCTTTGTCCAGCTGGACCGGTCAGGAAAGTGGGCATGTCCAGGAACTGGGTCCCCAGTGGCTCCGCCCTCCCTCTGGCTCTGGAAGGGTGAGAGAGGCTGTGTGGAGTGTCTGGCCTGCTCCTTCCCCACGTCCACTGTGCTGCACTCCTCTTCTTTCAAGAGGCCAGGCAGGAGGGGCTGCTTTTTCTTCTTTTTGTTTGTTTTTAATAATTGGCTCAAATTACAAAGGTCCCCATGGAACCCTGGGGGAGGGAGAGAAACTGGGAGTGGCCGAGGTTCACTGCCAGCACCCATCCCCCTCCCTGCCATCCACTCCCCAACAAGTGCATTTGTGGAAAAAGGTCCCAGACCCTTTAAATAACCCTAAAAATCCATGGTGGGAAAGCAGGCAGATGAAGGGGCCCCTGCACCTTACCACTGGCGCCAAGGAAGCCCTGACCTCTGTCCTGCTCAGGGCCGCGGCCCTCCCCCACCAAGTCTGAGGCTCCCATTCCAGATCCTGCCCCTGGCCAGGTAGGGGACAGCAGATCTCTTCCGCCGGGAGGCAGGGACAGTCACTGTGTAAACATCAGCAGAACAGACCCCACTAGTCTCGGCAGCAGGCCCTGGAGTCCAGATGCCAGACCTCACAACCTGCTCATGGCCGTGGCTCCCAGGCGCAGCGAAGCATGGTGGAGGGCCAAGGTGCTGCCGCAGGAGGAACCTCTTCCTCCCTGCTGCCTGAGGCCTGCAGGCAGTGGGAAGTGCCACTGGCCCCGCTCTGGCTCTGAAGGCTGTGGCGACAGGACCCTGGCCTGCAGGGTGGCGGCGAGGGAGCATGGTCACGCCCGGGCCCCCAGCTCTCCGATGCGCTGCCGCAGGTGAAAGGCAAATTCAAACATGGTGGCCGCGAGGCTCTGGTGGATGAGGTACCGGGGCAGGCGGCCCTGGGGGGAGGTGGAAAGAAGTTCCAGGATAGCCTGCCCTCCACGGGGGCTCTCCTCTCAACAACAGGCGCTAGTTGTGGGGGGAGGGGGTCCCCTAGGCCAGAGCAGCAGGTGCAGGTGCAGCTCTGGAATGCAGCCTAAGCTACCCTCTACCCCTCACCCCTGGCAGGAAGAACACACTGTGCCAGGTCTTGGCACCAACCACACAAACAGATCTAGGAGGGGCTGGCTTGGCAGCCAGCCACGGCTCCGCGGGGTCTCCGGAGCAGAGGTAAGGGGAGGTACACGCCCTCCAGCGACCCAGGACGAGACCATCTTGATCCTGCCCCAAATTTTAGCTTAAGGAGGCAGTGTAGGTGAGGCCCTGAGCAGGGCAGGAGACCCCAAGGTCCCCCACCAAAGTCCCCTCTACTGTACTCAGCCAGCCTTGTGGCCTCAGCAACCCCACCTTGAGATCTGTATTAAGGATCCAGATGAAGGTGCAGACTCGGGGGTTACTGGCCGACTTGAGCACGATGAAGCCCCCAGGACCATTCTCTCCCCTAAGAGAAAAGCACCATTGTCGGGGAAGTTGGGGGGACACCCTGGAGCCAGGCAAGGCCTCCGACCTCACCCCACACTCCATTCTTGGACCATCCTGGACTTGGGGTGAAAGAGGGAAGGGGGCTACCGGTCTAGCAACCGCCACTCTGCCTGAGCAGGGGCCGAAACAGGTGTCCCAGAGGCTACAGGATACAGCCCTCCACCCGCCACGTGACGTCGCATGTCGCATCCTCCTGCGGCCCGCCAATGTTGTGCACCCCGTGGCAGCTGTCATCCTCTCTGTCCAAGGATTCTCTGTCAGCTCTGGCTGAGGGGGGGGGAGGGGGTGCTGTGCTTGCATCTCTCACCCCTGCCCAACTCGTGCGCACTGCGGTGGTGCCAGGAGGGGGTGCCCGGGAGGGGGTGCCTTCCCAGGTGGTGGGCAGGACATGTCCTGTCACCAGGCAGTTGCCATACAGCTCCACTGACAACTCCCGAGCTCACTCCACACACAAGGAAGTCAGCACCCAGAAAGGAAACACGCATGTTCATCACCCAGGGGTCTGGTGTGCTGAATCTCTTATCCCACCAACAGGGCTCTCAGTGGGAGCCCAGGAAGGACGGGGAGAGCGGGAATCGGGGAGACCACCTGCAGCATGGGGGTCTAAGGTTAGACAGCAGAACTGAGGATGCTCTGGAAGAGGCAGCAGGGAGACGAAACTCCTCTTCCTCTGGGGGGACATCCACACACTCCGGGGAAAGGCAAGGCAGCGGGGACCGACTCTACTCAGGCAGGAAGGTCAAGCACCAGACTGAGTAGAGTCAGGAAGGTCGAGCACCAGAACGCAGAACCTTCTGCTCAGGTCACCCGGACCAGCGAGACCTCATGGCTCCCAGCCCCCTTCCCCTGGACTGGTCCCTGTCCCTGGAGTGCCCCTCTGGCCTGGGTGGCACACTTCCAGCCATTAATCCCTCAGTCTCCGGGAGGCAGAGCAGCAGATTAGCAGGACTAGGCGCTGAGTGGGGCAAAGCCCAGCAGGACAGGGGGCAGGAACGCGGCCTCGGCAGGAGAAAGTGCCCAGCTGTACACACTGTCCCCTACCCTTGTCCTCACAGCCACCAGGGGAGGGGCCAGCCAGGGTGACCCTGGGCAGGGCAAGGCTCACCTCACATATTTGTGTGTGGGGGGCTTGGCGCAGTGCGTGGTGGCGATGCCCGACGAGAGGTATCGGTCTCTGCGCCGCTCGATGCGCCGCACGTTCACAAAGTCCCTGGGGGGGCGGGAGGGTTAGACTGGGAGCAGGGAGCCAAGCCCAAGATCCAAGGGGAGGAGGCCTGAGAGGAGGGGTCTGGTGGTGCTCACCTCGGGGAGACCACCCCGCCCGCGGCCCCCGAAGAGACATCGTAGGAGATGAGGGTGTTGTCCTCTACTCGCTGCAGGATCTAAAGGCCATGAGGGGAGATGTGAAGTACAGCCCCGCCCAGGAAAACCCCAGCACCTCAGGGAACCCCCAGACCAGCCTCCTCTCTGCCCGGGTCCCTTTACTGACAGCCACTCCCAGGCCCTGGGCTGGGCTTTCTCTGCGTGCTCCCTCTCCATCTTCCTGACCCTCTCCAGGAGGTACCATTACCATCATACCCATCTTACGGACAGGGAAGCTGAGGCACAGAGCAGTTCAATGACACGACGCAGGTCCCCAGTGGTAGCTGGCTGTGCTGGGGTATGACTGCACCCTGATCCGCCGTGTTGCTCTGCCTCTGCCCTGAGAGGAGGCCAGGCCAGGACCCCTGGCTCCCCGGCTCACCTGGCAGGCAGTCACCGTCTTGTTCCACAGCACCATCCGCTCGGGCTGCAGGATCACCTCCTGGTACACCAGCTCCGCGGGGCAGGGCAGGAAGGTCTGGGGCAGGGCGGGCAGAGGGCTGGGTGGTGCCAGATGTGCTTGGGCACACCGGCCCCCCCTCTTGGTGGAAACCTGCCAGAAGGCAGGAAGCCCCTTCCTGTAGACTCAGACAGAGCAGGACACTCCTGTACACCTGCTTCCCTTGCTCACCTTCAGGATGAATGTCTTCCCATGAAAGGGAACCTCGATGGTATACACAGTGTCCCCATATTCCTGTGGCAGTGACAGAAGGGAGATAGGGAGGTGGGTGGAGGGCAGGGGGAGGGCATGGTGGGGTTGGCTGGTGGCAAAAGAATAGGTGACAGGGCAGGCTTTTAACAGCTCAGGGTAGAAAACTCTAGGAGTTTGGGGATATTCAAGTAGCTATTAAAAAACAGTAGTTCTGACAAGTGTCTAGCCGCGAGCAGAGAAAGGCTTTTGATATCAAGTTAAAGGACAGAAGCACAGCTACAGCTGTGTCTCCAGGCTGGCCAGGGCTGCGAGAGGGGCTGGCCAGAGAGAGGGACAGGGACGTATCCCCCATTTTCCAAGCTCTCTGCCATCTCTTTAGATAATGTTGTTTTGATCATGAAACAAAACACCAGACACACGGCAGAAGCCTGGCTTCCTCTTCAAAGCCAGAGCAGAGCGAGGAGAGCAGCAGGGAGCTGAGGATGGGCGTGGGGGAGGGGGCAGTGGAAACATCCAGTTCAGCCCAACCTCCTGCCAGCTGGTGACCCCAGGGCCCAGCCCCCACTCCCGATGCAGAAATATGGTTGCAACCCGTGTGATCCTGGGGCTTCTCAGGCCTTAGAAAAGCAAGCAAAACTCTCAACACACGTGGGCAGGTTAGTGGGAGAGAAGTTTCTTACATTGTTCTTCTCAAACTTCCAGTTCTCCTCTTGGGCCAAAATCTGGTCCACCACTGCCATGGCCTCCTTCCCCTGATGGATATACTCCCGTTCCTGGCCAGGGGTGAGAGGTAGGGAGGGATCAGCCTGGGGCCCGCACCCCACCCTGCTCATGGCCCGTTCTTTCTCTAGATGCTTCACACACGTGGAGTCTGGGTGGGCTCTCAGGCCCTGTGGGAACCCCAGGGGCTGGGGCTGGGGCTGCTCGCCTCCAGGGCCAGTGGGCCCAACTGACGGTGAGGCAGACGCTCAGGTGCACGCCGCCTGGCATTTGCACTGCCTGAGGTCCATGCTGTGCTGGGAAGGCCCTGCCAATCCTGGTTGAGCCCAGCACCAGCCCTTCTCCGGGGTGCCCACTACAGAGGTTGGGAGAGGGTGGGCAGCTAAACACCTGGGCAGAGAAGCTTTTCTTCCCAAGGTCTTCATCTGATTCATTGTCAGACCCTGCAGAAAACAAGCACAGAGACAACAGGAAGGTGTGGGGACAGACTGTGGGATGTAGCGGGGTTCAGGCATAAGCGTGAGGTTGTAGGGGGTAGAGGTATGCGTGGTAGAGAGCTGCTCATTTTCCCCAGAGAGCCGATAGAAGGAACAGAAAGAACAGACCCAGCCAACCCACTCCTCATAAATACGCTCCCTGAAGGCAGTTCCCCATCCACCAGCCCTCACCTGCAAAGGATTCTGGGGGTGAATAGAACTGGCCCTCGGACAGAGCGCCAGAGAAGAGTAGGGGTCCTCGGGCGACGGCAGCCTGGGCAGCAAGATACCCTGGGGGAGCAGACATGGGCAGCCATTGTCCCAAAACAAGGGCAGTCATGTCTTAGCAGCCTGGGGTCCCCCCAACTCCAAGCTCATCCTTAGGCTCTTGGTGGCTATTCAGAGCTGGCAAGATAGCTCAGAACTGGCTCTCATGCCTGAAACTCTCCTCTCTTGGGGCTGCGATGACCCTTACTGCACCCCTTCCCCCAGCACTCACATCGCTCCTCCTCGGCCTCCTGTGGTAGAACTTTGAAGTCAAGGAACCATGTCTCCAACCAGGCAAGAACAAAAGAGACGATAGGGAGCAGGTAGCCAAATGCCCCTTTGCTGAGCAGCTGTGGAAGGAGGGGAATGAGCTCCACAGCAGGGGGTCACCCGAGCCCAGAATCCCCACTTGGGACTACTAACTCTGGCATACACCCCATTCCTGGACCAGCTGCTTGGGGACCCTCTGCGGCACATGCCTCTGACATGGATTAATGACTTCTACAGCACGATAAACTGAGGTTAGGCAGGCAGAAGGACTTTCTGTTCTTGTGGTTGCAGAGGGGCAGGTGGAAGAAGCCAGTGACGAGGATTCCTTAGAAATAGAAAGGAGAGGACCCCCCTCACCCCTGTCTGTCAATAGGGACAGACACCCAAAATCAGAGAAAGGGTCCCTTCTTAGAATCCCATCCCACCAGACCAGCCAGAACCTGAGCCACTGACCTCAGAGAGGATAACCTTGACAATGAGGAATGCACTGGACACCAGTGTGGTGACCTGCCCAGGGGAGGGAAGGAGGGAGAGAGGGAAAACAGGCTGGGGAGTGAGTCCTCCTCCATACCATCCCTTGCACCAGCCCCGCCAGGGCCTGAGAGCTGCCGGGAGAGTGGCATCTTACCGCAATCACCCACCAGTGCCGGAGCCGCAGCACAGCGTAGCCCAGGAGCAGTCCCGAGAAGCGGAAGAAGGCCAAGACCTGGCAGAGTGGGGAGGAGCGGGGGGGAGGGTGTTAGAGGGCGAGACACAGCCATCACAGGCAAGCCAGTGCCCTTCCCCCTGCCCAAGGCTGACCCCCACCCCCCCACCGCCTGGTTCCCTCTACATAGGCGTTCATGCCTCGGGAGAGAATGGCCAAGTCCGTGTTTCCCTGGGGACGATCTGGATGTGGCCTTCTTACACAGGGGTCTACTCTTCCCCCCTCACACTTGGGGCTCTCTGAAGGGAGAGCCTTGTTCAGGAAATTTCTGAATACTGAGAGCTCCCTGGGGATGAGAGCCAAGTCTCCCTGCTCAGGTTAGGGTGTGTGTTGCAGAGAGAAGAGAAGGCAGCCAGGGAGTCCTGTCCTGGGCCATCTCTGCCCCCAGGACCCAAGTCCACTCACAAAGATGTCAAAGAAGGAAGTTTTAAAGTTGTAGTGGATGATCTCCTGCTCCAGGTTCTTCTGGATGCCTGTGTTGGTCTGGAAAAAGGAGATACGAACAGCTCTACAGGCAGGACCAAGTCCCCAGGGATGCCCTCACTTCTGCGGATGGGGAGGAGGCAGGGGGAGTGTGGAACCCGGAGATGCTAAGCCACTGACCAAGGAGGGCCCTGAAACACCAAGGGCACTCAGCCAAAGGACTGAGTCCCCAGCACCAACATCATTCGTTCCTCCAAGTCCCAGGCAACCCAGACAGGTGGGGCCTGGCTCCAGCAATGACACTCGAGGGCACAGTGCCTGGGGAGGGGAGGCTGCAGGCCCTGTGCCGGTAGGTAGGGCTGGTAGACTGCGTGCTAGGAGCCTGCCTCTCACATAATCTCATCTGCCTCTCACCACCAAGGTGCTCCATCTTCCCGGCCAACCATCCATCTGGGGTGCTGGGGACCAGGGGTGGGCAGTGGTGTCAGACGGAGCCTCAGGTGGCAAACCAATTGATTGGGTTTGTGCTTAATGGGCAAAATCCATCATAGTGCTGGGAGAGGATGCCCAGCAACGGAGACGGAGTGAGCAGACTTGTCCTCACCCCGTCCCTGCCATAGCCACCCACACATTTGCAAGGGGTCTCCTGACACCTTGGCTGTGGAGGGAGAGGATCTGGTTGGATACTAAGAGCGAGATCATAGCCTGACTTATCAAGAGGAATGGGGTGGCAGACCCTGGCTTCTACAGGAAGGGGTGCCAGGCCCCTGGAGGAGGGAGGACAGAAGGGGACTCTGGGGAGTGGAGCCCAGGAGCCTAGAAGGTGAAAACCCTTCATGATCATTTAGACTGGACCTTCTAATCCCCGGCAGATGATCCAAATTGAAGTGGGGGGGTGGCTTATTAAAGACACAGATGTTTAGGCCACTGAATCTCAGATTTAGCTAAGCATCTGGAATTTTTACACAGTTCCCAGGTGACTCTGACGCTTAGAGCAGAAGCCAGCAGGCTGGGCAGCTGCCTCAATGACACTTGTAGGCCCCTGCACCTCCAACCACGTGCCTCTACCTCAAGACCACCCTGAGCCTCATGGAGTCTCACACCACCCCCCACACCTGACACCCCACCCCACCCCAGCTTAGTCCTCCTCTTACTCCTCAGGCTGCTCCCTCTTGGGCTCCGCAGCCCCTCTGGCCCCTAACAGTCACTGTCCCTCACAGCTCTCCCTCTGCCTGGGCACGCGCAGAAGCCGATGGCATTCTGACTCAGGGGACCTGAGTTCCAGCCCCTGCCAGTCTCTGACTACAAGGCCTTGCATGTGTCTCATAATCCTGCTGGAGTCCTTATATACACTGTGCAACACCCAGCCTGTTGAGAACTAAAAATATATATGCTCTAAAACAGAAAAATAAAACCAGGAAAGCAAACAGTATCCCATTTTTAAGTGGCTACCAAGTGAAACATTATGGCTAACGCCACAAATGGTTAAGCCCAGCGTTCTGAACTTTTCATTATGTTTGAAAACAATTTGGAGATTAAGTTTTTCTTGCTTTGCAAGAATTACCAAGTACGCGTAATGGCTGCTGAGCTATTATAGCCAGTACATCCAGATTTGCAAAAGTAAATTTACAAAAAAAATTTTTGGCTGTTTTCTGGCAAGAAAATCTATGTTGAATGAAGGCTGTGGGTGAATTTTGGTGCTTGCTTTGATGCTGGATGGGACCTTCCAAAGGAAGAATGCCTAAGACCTCAGAAGCTCTTCAAATGGCTCTGGACCTTGCTGGGCTGCAGTTTTTTCATTGGTAAGATGGTCCCTAAGGTCCCTCATGACTCAATCTTGTTGAAGGTGCCAGTTCATCTCTGTGCACAAAGGACAGTCACCCTCGAAGCTCAACATGCCCAGAATCAAACTTGTCTTCTTTATCCCTAAACCAGTCCCTTCTCCAAACTCCTCACTTCTGTCAACAAAGTCATCCTTTGCCTGTCACCTGAGCTTGAGGCCTGGAGGAAGGGCACCTGCCATCCTGAACTGTGACCCATTCTGCAGAAGAAAAACAAAGGAAGGCTCAGAGAGGCCAAGTCCCCTGCTGAGGTCTCACAGCAAATAGAGAGGAGGAGCCAGGACTGACCGAGCCTGAGATGCTCTGCTCTCACAGCTCCTGCCTCTGCGACTGGGTCCTGATCTGCCCTTTCGGTGACTGGAGATCAGGTCCCACAAGGCTGACCAAGCACTGCCCAGAGGGAGTAGGGTGCGGATCCGGCACTGTGAGGCAGCTCCATCTCCGGGCTGCTTAGTGGCATCTCACCACGCCCAGAGAGGCCAAACCAGGGGGCACTGAAGGAATGTCCAAAATGGGGAGCGAGAGCTAGGAACCCCTGGGAACTGGGAGTTTTTTACTGGTTTGCTCCCTACCATACCCTTTGCTTTTAGCACAGTGCCTAGGATATAATGGGGCTTTGAAAAATGTCTGCTGAATGAGTGAGTGAGTGAATGAATGAATGAATAGAACCAGAGAGCAACATAGGGCAGAAAAAAGACAAAGGTTTCAATAGTTCAACCAGAGTCCACTGGGCGGTCTCCTCCTTTCTCGGAGTGTCCACTAGAGGGCAGGCTGGCACAGAAGTCAAAAGTGTGAACTCTGCAGCCAGAGGGCTTGGGTTCAAACTCTGTCCTTCTTCACATACTTGCTGACAGAGCTCAGACAAATGCCTCAAGCCCTCTGAGCTCCCAGCTCTTCTCATCTTCCCATTCTCAATTTTACCTCGAAATCTACCCTGGCAGAGAGGCGACCCTCCCATACTAAGGTGGAGCAGCTAAGGCCCAGATGACCCCGGCCCCAGCCTTGGCCACACTCACGTTCAGCTCGATGATCCAGAGCAGGGAGATGAAGAGCAGGTCGAAGGTGACAAAGAGACAGAAGGTACGGCGGACATCAGAGATGGCCCGGCGCTTCTCTGGGAGTGGCGGGAGGAAGTGGGAGGAGAGGCCCTGGGAGTGGGACAGTGATGAGCCGAGGGAGGCCACGGCCGGCAGGCTGTGTTCCAAGTCACGGGCCAGCTCCCTAGACAGTCTGTTCATCCTGGTGGGCCCCCCACCTCAAGGCGGGGAAGGCGGGGCCTCAGCTGCAAGGCTGGGGAGAGGCAGGGCAGCTGAGTCAGGGCAGGCATGTCGCATGTCAGGGGCCCAGAGGTCCTGTTAACCTCCTCCATCCCTCTACACACAGTCCCAGGGACGTTGGTTGCTCCCAAACACATCTGCCCCCTCTTACATCCCAACCCCCTGGCAGCCCCAGGCCCTCTCAGCCCAAATTCTCTCCTGCAGTCCTACTTCTGGGCGGGAGTGGTTTGAGCATCCCTCTCACTCGGCCCTCCTCACCACCCCCTGTAAAGCCCAGCGGCCGCATGGTTCACCCTTGGAGGGATCTGGGGTCCTCCCCGCTGCTTGAGAGCACAGCCTGCTCCTGCCAAGCCCGGCCTGTGGTTCAGCCTCCAGTCCTGTCAACAGCCTCCCGGGCCTGCCCCCACCCCCAGGAGAAGAGGGCCCCAAGCTCTGTTCTTTGTTTGCCAAGCACAAAGCCACATTCCCTCCCAGCAGCCAGCCCTACCCTCCCACCCCCTAATCCATGGCAACTGGGAGGGACTTCCTAGAGCTGCGTCTCCGTCTCCGGGTGCTCTGCGCTGGGACAGCGGGTATGGAGAGAGAACATCCCGGTCCCTTCTCTCTAGCTCCACCCCACCACCCCCATGTCAGGCCCTACCACCATCCTCTGGCCTGGCCATCGCAACCAGCCTAGCGGGCGGGTCTCCAGGCTGCCTCTCTCACCCTGTAACAACGCTTCTTGAACAGCCAGAGAAAGGCTTTCCAAACACTGATCGCAGCCTGCCGCTCCCCGAGGCCTCCAGCCCAGGCCCTGCGGGGCGGCCCCGCCAGCTCTTCACATGGCTCCTCTCACAAGGCAGGTGGGGCTCGCCCCCAGCGCCACCCTGGCCTTCTTTTAGGTCTCTCAGTGTGACAGCCTGGTCCTGCCTGGGGCCTTGGACCTAGCTCTCCCTTCCCTAGTCCCTCCAACAAGCAGCTCAAAAGTCCTCTCCTCAGAGCCCGCACCCTCCTGCCCCCAATCACAGCGGCTTGCCCTTGTCCTATTACGGGGCTTCACACTCTTCTGTGAGCTCATCACTACCCAAAATGGCCTTGTTCATTGTTCTGCAAACCCTACAGGTACGGGGCTTCCACCCGACTGGTCACTGCTGTCTCCTAGCGCCTAGCACAACGTCTGGCACCGAGCGGATGCTGGACTGGCTGCTGGGTAAATAGATGCTCCAGGGGGTCTCCTGGTCCTCAGCTCCATGCTACGCAGCAGAGAAACGGGGCAAACCCTGAAGAGGCTAGGAACCAGCCACTGCCTGAGGCTAAGCCAGAGCTCCACTGCTCATAGAACACTGTGCCCACGGTTGTGCTTCATGCCCACACAGGGCAGGATGGGTCCTTCCACGTTACAGACAAGGCAGCCAGGACTGAAGGGGGAATAGAGCCACCTCTTACCTGTGTGTGCGGCCGTGGGGCTGAAATTCTTATCAGTGCTAGAGTCAGGGGGCCTCGGAGCCCTCCCTCCCTGCCACACAGCCCCCAGACCCAAGGTCTCTACTCCACCAGTGCACTGGCAAGGAGCCAGAAAGAGGCCCTGTCGCCCAGGCAGGGGGCTCAGCACGGCTGGTGCCTACACTTCTGGGGCCCCGTCAGAGTCTCCCCGAATCTTCTCTCCTGCCAGCACCAGGGAGTAGGTTTGGGGGACCTCCCCTCTAGGGAGGGGAACCCTAGATGTTAGTCTCTGATCCAAGGCAAGATCCAATCAGTCTCCCCCCTAATCTGTGATCCCTTCACACCTTTGTTATGCCTACAACTTCCAGGGGCCCTTAATCTATCAGGTCCTCAACAAGCCCCCTGTTTGTGAACAGCAGAAGACTCTGAACACAGTCCTCTGTGCAAGCCCCAGAGGACGGGAGCTGACTGTTCTCAGCAGAGGCACCCAGCCCAAGGCCACCCCCTAATACCACAGTGCTGGGGCTGCCGTGCCTGGCTCATCTGGAGCGTACTGAAGGAAAGCTGGGCCCAGCTCTGGAAGGAGGCAGTAAGACAGGGGATGTGACAGGCCGCCGGCAATGGCACTCACCCCCAACATCCATCAGGTGAACCTGGTGCCAGACTGAACACTCAGTGCATATCTCACTGTGACAGGGCTGCAGCTCCAGGGTGGGTGACATTTCCTGGTCTCTAATAGCCCTCTTGTCTGCTGCCAGAACTGTCTCCATCTTTCTTCCTCCTTCCTGTCTCTCTCACAAACTACTTTTCTCTTTGTGTCTCCGTGCCAGCCCCCACGTCCCCAGTTCATGCCCTTCTTTCTGGGTCTTCTGCTCTAAGTCTCTCCCCATCTGTCTCTCTCCACCACCATGAGCTCAGTCTCCCTTGAAAGTCTCCCCTTCCGCCTGTGTGTGTGTGTGTGCGTGTGTCTGTCTGTCTGTCTCTCGTCTTCCCTATCTGCTCCTCTCCCTCTTCTTGAATCACTGCAGGGTCCTGTGGCTTCCCTACTCCCAGCTGCTCTTGAGTCTGTCTGGCATCACCCCCCCACCCCAGCTTTCTCCCTCCCTGCCTGGGGACAGGACTCGGATGGGGACAGTGATGTGAGATGCCACTGGAGTGGCACGGACACTCACACATGCAGACATCCTTGTTCAAGCAAGAGACACAGATGGGGGCTGAGAGCAAAGGTGTTGGGGGGGTGGGGAGAGCTGCAGACACAGGGGTGTGTGGGAGCCAGGCACGGGGCCTCTGAAGCAGGGCCGGGGGCAGCTGGCCAAGAGGCAGGGAGAGGGGGCTTCTACATCACCCTCCCCCACGAAAGCTGCTCAGAGTCCAAAGAAGCAAGAACTTGTAGAGTAGAAGGAGCACCAGTCATGAATGAAGACCTGAGCGCCACTCTTGGGGCAGCCATGGACCCTAACTGAGCAAGTCCCCCCTTTATCTGGGGGAAAAGTCAGTGGTTTTTTTTAACCCCCTTCTTCAAGCAAGAGAAACTTAAGAGAAGAAAAGAAAACCTGACTTGGAACCTTAATAAACAATAAAGATAAAAACAGACTGTTACGGGTCCTGCCACAGAGAGCCCCACTCACCACCCTCCCTGGGTCACCCCGGAGACACCTCCTTGGGCGCAGTTTGAAAACTGCCCACTCAGATGACTTCAGAAGATCTCTGAGCTCTGTCAGACCGCCTGCCAGTCTAAGGGGCGAAAACCGTCTTGGCCTGGAACTGCCCTTAGTGGTCCCTAAAAAGCACTGTTTTCTGGCCCCCAGCCCTGAGGGCAGAACGGTGAGGCCTGGCCTCCCCCACGCCACTGTGCCCACCGTCCTGATGAGGGGGAGGCAGAAATGAGAGCGGTGGGTTAGAGACGGCAGGGCCACAGCCCAGGCCCACAGGAGCAGCAGTCCCTGGCGAGCCCGGCCTCTGCTGTCACCTGCCCGGCTGGGCCTGCACGGGTGTCTGGAGTGGAGCAGCATGTGTGACATGAAGAAGTCCATCCAGAAAGGCTGTAGACTTGACACTCACTCAATGTGGGCTTTAGGGGAAGCGGAGCCGCTAAGGCCTGGGGAAGGGGGCAGGGAAACAGAGGTTTTATCATCTCCAGTAAGGGAAGGAGGGGTGAGGGGAAGAGGCAGGCCACTGGGTACAGCGGATGACTCGAGTTCTTGCGGCTCCCGAGGCAAAGGGGAGGGAAAGGGCCAGCCCCCAGGGCCTGCCGGGCCTTCTCTTGCCCTAAGAAATGCCAGTACTGGCCAGATTGCAAGAGGAACTTTCACGTAGGGTCCCAGACTCGGGGCAGCTGACATCGTGGAGAGAAAGCTGGACTCTGAGGTCAGGGTTCAAATCTGTCTGCATTTACGAGCTATGCAATCTGGAGCGAATGTAACCATTCTGGGACTCAGTTCCTTCAGCTGAGTTAAATAAAGGCTATGTTAATACACTTAATGCCTTAGAACTATATCCTCAAAATGATTCAAATGGTATATTTTATGTTATACATATTTTACCACAATAAAAAAAGTAACGATAATTGCTACCTCCTAGGGCTGGCATTTCTAGAAGTGTCAGGAAGAAGTATGGTAGATGCTTGGTCGGTGGTGGTTGAGATGGAACAAGTAGCTTGGCAAGGTCGTTCACGTAAGGGAAAAAGTGTGTGTGTGTGTGTGTGTGTGTGTGTGTGTGTGTGTGTGTCGGGGGGGGGTGCTTACACACCACAGCAACATGTAAGGAAATCACCCAAAAGGCCTGGGTTTAAATGTGAGCTCTACAATTCTTCCCACAGGTGACCCTGAGCACCTAAAGTCTCTTAAGCCTAAAGTCCGGGTCCCCTACCTGTGCACAGAATGGGCCAAGTCATTCCAGCTCCAGGTGAAGGTGAACTCCGAGGCTAGGGGTGGGGGCAGGAAGTGGGGGGCTCTCAGAGGAAGTGCCAGTGGTGCCCGCCCCCCTACAATTCCAAGCTCCATCTCTTCAGTCACCCCCAGTTCCCCATTTCCATAGCTCTTAAGGGACAGGGGCACAGATGGGGTCCTTGCCAGCTCTCAGTCACAGCCCAGACCACAAGCTCCAGCCACCTCTCTGCGGCTCCACACCCCGACTGCCTGCAATTTCTGGCTGGCATTTCCCGGCCAAGGCAAGTCTTCAGTTTGAACAATGCCACTCACTCACTGTACAAGCTTCAGAGGCTACATCTGGAAACTGGGGACACTGGTCTTGACCCTGGGCTGTCAGGGGCATCGAAGGATACGGTGACGCATGTGAAGTGCCTAGCACAGTGTCTGGCACCACAGAGTAAGTGCTCATTAGACGTTAGCCACTGCCACCGCTGCCACCTGAGTTTTCCTGCCCTTTCCCAAGCGCTGACCTCCAACAGAGGTCTGGCCAAACTGTACCACGTCCAGTGAGAGCTTCTTCCACAAGGCTATGCTCTGTGGCCCTGGGGAAGGAAGACCAAGTCTCATCTGTACCCAGAAATGACCCACATTCTCTAAACCTTCTCTCAAGGCTAACGGGGCAGTGGACACAGGCTCTCAACACCTCCCTCACCCCATATTC